GTTTGGAGAATAAAGTGGAGACTAAAGCAAGTCCATCTGTTGTAAGCCATGAACACAAGGTGGAGGCTGGTTTTGTAGAACAGTCCCAAGGTGAATCCTTTGGTAAATGAAAAGTTCCTTTTGTTAAGGAAATAATTGCCTTGTCTTTTGCTCCCCATCCCCCCATCCCAGGGATCAGGTGTTTTTTATCTTTGTATCCTCACCACCTTCCCCCCCCCGCCCCCGCCCCTGCCCCACCCAGCAGGGTCCTTCTACCTATCTTGCTAAGTGCTTATTGAGTTGAATTAGAAATACCATAAGCCACTTACTAGAAATAATTAAGGAATCATCGTTACTATGGTTTGGGGTAACAGGTATGGTGGTCATGTTTTTAAAAGCCCTCATCATTAGAAATGTATATGAAAAAAGTGTTTAAAGTATTTAAACATGAAATAACTTGATGTCTGGGATTTGCCTTAAAATATTCCTGCACTCTGCTCTCAAGATGGTGGAGAATAAGTCCTCATCCCTGAATAAGTCCCCGGCTGTGCATAATGTCTTCCTCCCAAAGAGGACAGAATGGACACAGGGGCAGAGTGACTTCAAGTGGAGAAGCTTGACAGACGCACCTCACCTAGGTGATGACACTGACAATGATCAGCCCTGTGGATGGCAGGTGCCCCGACAGGAGGGGCTGGGAAGGGCACTTCCCTTCTGGGGTCATCCCAAACCCATAACCCAGTCTAACCATGAGAAAACCATCAGACAAATCCCAGTTGAGTGGCATCCTACAAATATCTGCCCAGTACTCCTCAAAACTGCCAAGGTCATCAAAAACAGGGAAAGTCTGAGAAACTGTCCCAGCCCAGAGGAGCTAAGGAGACATGACAACTGAATGTAACATGGGATCCTGGATGGGGTCCTGGGACAACAAGAGGATATTTGGTACAAACCAAGGGAGCCAGAATAAAGTACATGTTTTAGTTAACAAAGACATACCGATATGGGTTCATTAATTATAACAAGTGTACCAGACTAATACAAAATCTTAACAATGGAGAAACTGGGGGCCAAGTGTATGTGAACTCTGTCCTATCTTGACAACTCTTCTGTGAATCTAAAACAGTTCTAAAAAATAAAGTTTATTGAAAAAAATGTTCCTATAACATAAAGGAGCCAGGGGGAGGGGAGAGATAAAAGAAGACTGGCAAAAAGTTGGTAATTATTGAAGCTGGGTGATGGGTATGAGAGGTTTCATAGACTCTTTGCTGTACTTTAATGCATTTTTGAAAGTTCTACAATAGCAAGTTTTGAGAAAGTAAAGTCACAGATCCAGTATGATGGGGACAGCAGCATTGTGGATTTGTGCTAGTGTATCAAGAGCACAGGACAGGTGGTGACACTGTGAATTGACACCATGAATTCTGTAGTGACGGGAGTGGAGGATCATCCCAGGGATGCGACAGGTGTCTTCTTGGGAGAAGATAGCCCTGAGCTGGCTTGGCAGAGGGGCTGAGGATGAAGTGTGTGCGCACGCATGCGTGTATGTGTGTGTGTGTGAGCGTGCATGTGTGTGCATGTGTGCGTGCGTTTCGGGGGACAGTTACAGAGGTGTTCCTGACACATAACAGGTGTTGTACAAAATGTAATGTGATTATTCGGGGTCACGGTGACTGTCCCCACACTCCCTAAGGGCCATATTATACAAGCTCTGCTGCGCTCTACTTCTCCCTTGAGACCTCGCAAGTCACTCAAGGGTCACTCTCCGTCTCATACCACTTCTAGGAGGATAGTGAGCAGCCCCTAGGAGCCCATCTCTTTGGCATGAATGATGCTGGGAAGTGTGACAGGAGATGAGGCATTGTTGCCAACACCCAGACCCAGACGTCATCCAGGCAAGCAGAGTGCACCCAGGGACGGCGGCACCATATGCGAACTGGCCCGGGGGACAGTCCAGCTGTGGTCCAGGAAGTGACCCGAGGACAAGTGGACATGACCTCTAGCTGCTGGTGTCCCCAATGGAAGGAGCAAGGAGTCTGCGGTGGCAGCCAGCTCACACGAAGCCACTTTAGGTGACTCTCTCATAAACTCCTCTGGAGTCTTGCTGTGTCCACGGCTTGTCCACACGAGACTAACTGAATAAAGAATGCCTTCTTCAACTCTATTTGTAATGATAGCGCTATTTCCTGGGGACCTGATGTGTGGTGGTCCTTGTGCTGTTTATGTAATCAGATCATTTTGTCCTTACTGTCACTCCCATGAAGTACAGGGAATTACTTTCATTCTGTAGCAGAGAGAACTGAGGATCTGAGACACGAAGCAATGTGCCCAAGGCCACACAGTTCGTGAGTGGCAGGATCTGACCTTGAGCCTGCAAAACCCACAGAGCTTTTTTTTTTTAATGTGAAATTTAATATCATCAAATCATATTTCTTTGAAACGCAAACTGATCTTGTAAAATGTTAATGGTAGGATCTAGGTGGTGGGTACCCTGGCCTTCACTGTTGAATTCTTTCACCTCTGCTGTACGTTTGGAAATTTTCACGATAAAATATTGGTAACGAGAAAATGTAGCATGATTTCCAGGTGTTTTTTTTCACCTGAACGAACTTGAGGACCTTGATGGGACTTAGGAAAGCTAACCTCCTTGGGCTCTAGGTGACCGGGTGGTCACCACCTTAACACTGGTCCCTCCAGGACGCCAGGTGACCTAGGCCCTCCTGCCACCATGCTGCATTGCTCCTCTGAACATTAGTGTAGGTTCCCTTCATTCAAAACAGACACAGCTTTCCGGTAGAACATGACAACAAAGACCTTCTGGAACCTTCCCTCCAACTTTCTTCTGCTACCAAATCAGCAAAGAGAGTTTGGTCTAATGTCTGTGTGCCTTTGCCTTCTCATCCTGCTTATAAACTTGCTTTCTCCTTTAGTGACTCCCCTCGATTATTTTGTCCTAAGGCTGCAATTAAAAAGAGATCACTGTGGTCTGGGGCCCAGAGGCCCTGCTGGTTCCCATTAGCTGGGCCCCTAATGTAGCCGAAGCTGGGCCCTGGTAGTAATTACTTGGCAAGAATAATGGGACACTTATTGCTCCATCCGGTGCCCAACCCAGGGCATGATATCAAATATGCAAAGTTGGGCTCTTGTGCAATCTACATAACTGTCTCCCCAGTCTCTCACGGGTGGCTAAGAAAAGGAAATGCAGAGCGCACTGGTGTGGCCTGATTGACAGAGGCCATCACTATCCTCCTCCTCCTCCTCATCACTTTGAACGATGAGTGCATTAAGATCGGGCACAGGTACGCAGCACTTGAAGATGCAGAGCCCTTCTGTGCTCCTCGTCTCCGGCGCCGCGGGCTGCCATCGAGGGCGGGGCGGCCGGGCAGGGATCACTGCCTCCACTTTGCAGGTGCAGAAACCGAGGCTAGGTGGATGGCGGTGGCCCGCGCTGCTGGCCCCTGCCAAGGTGAGGTCTGACTCGGCCTCTCTGGCTCTCTGAGTCACGCGGGGCAAGGGCCCGGCTCGCTCTCTTCCCCTCTGCTTTTCCTCCTGGCAGCTCCCTGCCCTCTGCGCTTTCCCTCTGCCCGCTCCCACGCCCCCCGCCCACCCTCAGGAAGGTTGATTGGCCAACGTGGGTCACATGTTCTCCCGAGAGCCAATCAAAGACAGGAGGCGTGGCTCTGTCCGCCAATGGCAGCTCCCACCCTAACCCCTATAAAGAGAGTGGGAAGGCCTTTTCCAGGGGTCCTTGCTTCTGTCTTCCTACTCTGCCCCACCCAGGAATCCTGGAGCAGGAGAAACCTCCCTCTCTGAGGGCGTGGGCCCCAACTGTCTGGCTCTTGCAGACTTGTCCCCCAAATTGCAGGCAGGAAACCAGAACCCCAAGTGGCCTTCTCACTTCCTGCCCATCACCCTGAGGCTTCCATTCCTGTGATCGGACCCCAGGTCCCCCCTTCCCTGCCAAGACCCCAATTCACTGGCGTTCAGAGCTTCTCGGATGGCTCCTTGGATTGTTCCCGTTCTTCCCCTTCCCACTACTTCAAGATGCCCAGGCCCCGCAGGTCTTGTGCCTGGCTGGCCCTGGCCTGGCTTTGACAGACCAATGCCCAGAATGAGTGACCTCAGAAACACAGGGAGTTCCCAAAGGCGGCTAGAGACTACATTCTGCAGTTGGAGTAGTGCTCATTTCAAAGACCAGAACACCAGCCACGTTGAAATCCCAAGGGTGACATCCCATGTGGGGTTGAGCTCTCAGCCAGTGCCAGGGTCCAGTCTGCTGAGGTGAGCTGGAACATGGGAGAAGAGAGGCTCTGAGCCACAAGTGGGGTCCCTGCCTAAGAAGAGGATAAACCCGGGGAGGATCCAGAGAAGAGGCATGTGTGGAAGCGAGGGGCCCTGGTGCTGAATCCCTGTGGGTCCCAGTGTGCTGCAGAGCTTGGGCTGGGGGTGTTGGGACACCCTATAAACCCAGTCTATCCACCTCTCTTCTGACCCAGGGCTTCACAGAGGGATGGAGTTTGGTACCTGATAAACTGAATTTGAACCCCGTGTCCCTGAAAAGCTGTGTGACTTGGGCAGTGGAGTTCCTCTCTCTGAGTCCTCTTTGCTCATCTTGAAATTGTGTCTGATCATGCACACCTTGCTGGGTTCTGGGAGCAATGAATGAAGCACCACAGGCCAAGTGCATGGGAACTCACTGCACCCTGGTGGTCTCTCCTTCCTGCTGAAGGGAATCGTTATTTCTCCCCGGTGATTTCTAGAAGGGACCAGGATCCCATACGGAATACTATCTTGCCTAGCAGGGCTGGACGTGGGGCATGGAGTGGGCTTGAACCACACTTGTCAGAGGGCAGCGTGGTATCAGAAACGACATGGGTGGAAAGCTATTCCTATACACGGGCCGGGTCCCACCCCAGAGCCTCCCAGGGGGCAGGAGGGTCTCTAAGAAGGTGTGAAGGGGCATTCCCAGGTGCTTTGCTAGAGGAAAGCCCCCTTCTTGAAAGACTCTCATGCACAGGCCATCAGGAGGATCACAAAACTGTTTATTTTCCCCCCTCTGATAAGAAAAGATGGATGCAGGGTGCAGAGAAAACCCAGCCACTCCCTTGCTGACCACACAGGGTCCACACACAAACCTAACAGGCTCTGTCTTTCTTTCCCGAAGAATTTTTCCTGCTTTAGCAGAACCATAATGCACCTTCTAAGTGCTCCCCGAGGCATCGCGTCATGCTGCTTCTGGGCAGAACTGGTCCTACCTGCTACTGGACAGCAACCGTGTCATTGGACATACAGCATCCAATTGGCAAAAAATGTACCAAATGTCAAATTTCATATGATCAGTGCAAGAACTGGTTTTCTCTTGGCATCTAGACTGGCTGCCCCCTGAAAAATGTCTTTCTTTCCTTGGTCCTTAGCAATGCTTAGCCCCCGGGCAGAGAAAGGGAGCAAACTTTAACCTTTGCGTTCAAAAATAAGCAAGGTTTTCAACAAACAGTTGAGTAATTGGACTCATTATTTAAATACCAAAATACATCAGATGAACTTATTCATCTGGCCCAGCTTAATACATGTTGGCCTAACACTAAAACAAATACATCAGTTTAAGAAATGTCACGAGGGATAGGCATGGTTGGTGTGGCAATGACTTGGCCTGGGGGCACAGACATGCTGCGCCATGGACAGGCCCTCAGAACCAGTACTCAGAGACAAAGATGTGCACGTTGACCACGTTTCGGTGGGACACCACACCCCCGACCACGTAGTTCATCTCCAGCTTCAGGACGGCATGGAATGGGCCCACAATGGGCCGCACCTGACGCACGACACCTGGAGAGAAACAGAAGGCGTCTTAGACCCCCTCAAGTCCCATGCTGAGCCACATAAAGTTTGAGTCCCCTGCCTAGCATCCACCTCCCAGTGGTCACCCCTGGGCTCTGCCTCCACCTCCAGGGGACAAATGACAGTGAGCTCACTCTGGCCATCTACCCGACAGAGGATTTGAAAGAGCCTAGAAGCAGGCCTGGTGTGGAGTGGATGCCCAATAGACGCTTGTCCCCCTCCTTCCTACCCACCGTGCCCAGTTCTGACCCTGGGGAAGAAGCAAAGCAGATGTGATCCTGTCTCCTGTGATACTGAAGATCACAGCGGGGTCCCGGAAACCCTTTATCCAAGCAGAGCTGTCTCCACGGGACATGCCCCTGGACCCCTCGCTGTCCATGCCTCTGTGGAGGGTGATACCTGAGCTCACCAGTGTTGCTGGTAACCGATGAGCAAGAGGCAGCTCTGCCAACAGAGCCTCAGAGCAGGTCCAGCCTGAGCAGCGGAGCTTGGCCAGGGCCATCAGCAGGAGGACAGGTGGTGGAGGGACCACACAAAGGCCATGACTGGTGGCCTCCTCCGCCGGGGCTCAGAGTACAGGGCACAGACAAAGCTCAGCTCGGAAGAGGGAACAACTCGAGGCAGATTTGCAGGGGAGCAGGACTGGGGGGAAAGAGTGGATTCCATAACTCTCTCCAAACCCGTGCCTGGCCATCTCCCTGTCTCCAGGCCAGGCTTTGCTAGCCCAGCCTTGCCTCCACAGGACACCCAGAGGCTCAGAGCGAACTCTCCTGCCCTCTCGGATGAGATGGATGGGGCTAGGGTGGGCGTTACCCTGGCCGGACTGTGGAGACAGTGCTGCCCTTTCTGGGCCTCGGCTTTTTCAGTGAACAAATGATACCATGTGACCCTGTGTTTCTGCAGCGCACGATCCAGATGACCCAGCACAGCAACTGCCCAAAGGATGAGCTGCGGGTGTGCAGGGCTGCCTCCTCGCCAGACTGAGGGCTCAGCCTTCACCTCCACCTGCATCCATACATTCCTCCATAGGCCCCCGGAGCCGTTCTCAGTGATACAGAGAAAATAACAGAATCCTGGTTTCAAAGCCCGCGAAGGATCTAAGTTAAGTGCCGTGTTCCAATAGAAGTCCAGCAGAGGAGAATGGAGGAGACGGAGTCTGACGGAGTCAGGGAAGGCTTCTTGGAGGAGGGGCTCCCCCCTGCCGAGGAAGCAACACAAGCAAAGTCTGCAGGTTGATGGATTCCCGGTGCTTGCGGCCGACCAGGTGCCACCAAAAGCTGTTGACATTTAGGGATGAATGACGTCCGAAGTCCTTTCTCCGTCCCGTCTGCTCTGATATCAGGACCTGCCCCGAGGGGTGGCTCTCCCGCTGGACTGTACAATTTCCGTGGCTGATTTTAAGCCGCGGAGGCGAGGTCACTGAGGGCGGGGGTGGGAAGCGTGGACCGGCGCCCCTCAGCCGGCCGTCGAGGGGCACCACAGCAGCGTGCGGGCAGGGGGCAAGCTCGGGCCCGGCGGCTCCACAACCACGTGCTGAGAAATCGCCGCTGATTCTTTGCTGCTCCACACTGCTGACTCCCTGCCACAGACCTGGGACCCAAGCACGGGGCAGTGTCGTCGGGCCCCGGGGGCCGCCCCTGCCCGCGTCAAAGGCTCGGGGGGCACTGAAGGCTGGCGAAGGCCTTCTGCAGTGGCGCCAAGTTCATGCTCAGAAGGGGAATTTCGGCGTGCCATCCCCCCTTTCAGTCTCTGGGCTTATGTCTCAAAAGTGAAATGCCCAGCAGCCGGGGTGGAATTCCAGGCTATTCTAAGTAAACAAGGGCTTTCGCTCTGATGGAGAGAGATTCTGCAGGCTGTCAGCACCCTTTCTCTGGCCCTGCCCGACGGTGACATTGTAGCTTTGTCCCGGGTGAACGCCCGTGAACATCTTCAGCTCGCTGCTAAAGACGCGGGCTTGTCAGCAGCCCTCCGTTTGCCTGTGGCCCCTGACGACCCGGCCGCTCCCGCCCACGAACCCCCCCACAGAATCTGGGCCGGGTCGGTGGGGGCTCCCCAGTGGGCCCCCCTCCATGTCAGCTTCTCCTCTCCCCAGGCCTGAGGCCCACGGTGCTGCCCACCAGACTCAGTGGTCCGGGTTACCTCCTGACTTCACCCACCCTTGGGGCAGAAGTTACTACTCTGCTTCCAGTGCTCAGAGAAGTTTCCGGGTCTTCAAGGAAGAGGTGAGAGGCTGGGGGAGCCTGAGAACTATTTTGGGACAGAGGAGCAGTGGAGTGGAGAGTACATTTCTTTTTTTTTTTTTTTTAAGAGTTTATTTATTTGACAGAGAGCAGGAGAGACAGCGAGAGAGAGAGCACAAGCAGGGGGAGCAGCAGAAGCAGAGGGAGAAGCAGACTCCCCACTGAGCAGGGAGCCCGATGTGGGACTCGATCCCAGGACCCCGGGATCATGACCTGAGCTGAAGGCAGACGCTCAACGACTGAGCCACCCAGGCACCCCTGGAGAGTACATTTCTGCAAACTACGATCGGATATGTATTTATTTCTATTTCTCATTATTCTCTTTATATAGCATATAATTAATGTGATATAGATTATAAATAATTTAAATTATGTTATTATTATAATGCCAATGTATAACTAGATACTATGAAATATGTAAATATACTTATTTAAATATATATTAAAATCTTATATGTAAATATACTTATTTAAATATATATTAAAATCTTATATGTAAATATGAATATAAAAATGTATATATATATATTTTAAATGTATGTAAACTTTTATATATATTTATATATATAAATGTGTTTATATAATTTATGAATATTGTATAAAAATATAAAATGTGCTTATACATTTATATGTAAAATATAAATATTATAAAATTATTATACACACACATTTGAATAGCATGAACGGTTTAGAGCCACAGAAGTTTCTGGGCATTGTGTATGTGTGCCAAGCACTGTGCTAAGTAAGTACATAAAGGCAATGTTGGGCTGTCCTCGTGGCTCAGCATGGGGACAGGGAAGAGCAGTATGACCCCAGAAGAGTTTGTTAACCTTCCTGCATTTTAATTTGCTCTTCTGTGAAATGGGGATTAAAAATAGCAACCTTCAAAATCAGAAACAAAACAAGCACGAGGACATCCTCCTCCTTCACCCTCAGAAATGACTACTGGACAGCAAAAAAAGCATTTTGCAATTCCAAATTAAATGTGATCTGATTTTCAAAGTATGGCTGAATTCTTGGATGATGGAAAAACAGAGCAAGTGTTGAGTATTTTTACGGGATTGATTTTAAAATTGTACTAAAAGGAAAGCCCCGAATGTGTAGAAAGCGTTTGCATCTAAATCCATCATGTTGGGCACTTTTCGAGGTTTGGTCTCTGCCATGCGATGGCTCATTGTTTGGCTGCAGCTGAGTGTTGAGACAAAAGAGGCATGGAAGGAAGCCAGGGGCTGCATTAGTGAAAGGGGAACTGGGAAGGGCCAGGGGGGAGGTGGGCCTGACTTCTGATGCAGGTCACACTCAGAGCCGAGATTTCTGCAGGGTATTTGCATTTAACAAGAAAAATGACTAAGGCAGGACAAATATGCGTGCTGCAAGTGTGAAACAAGAAATCATGAGTGCACATAGCAAAGCTCAGAAGTGTGTCCCCTGCCTGCCCCCCTGCTCCCCCCCCAACCTCACCAGAAGGAGCTTCTCTACCCCTTCCCTCTGACCTGAAGTCAGCACTGAATCCCCACCTCTAACCATAATCCCAGCTAACCCAGGGCTCCCTTTCCAGGCCACACCCATTCTGTGGACCTGACCACTACTTCTTCTGCTTAGTCACACTTCCCCTGGAGCTCTGGTTTGGGTGAACATGTTCCCTCCTTTCCCAGGATAGTCTGAGCTTGAGTTCCACCTCTTAGTCCTCCCTTTGACCAAGCCCAGGCTTTCTCCTGATATCACTTCTTTCTTTACAGCTTTCCTACCCATCCATCCACCAATCCATCCATCCACCCAATCATCTATCCACTCATCAATCCATCTACCCACCCATCCATCCATTTATCCATCCACCCACCCACCTATCCATCCATACATCCATCCATCCACCTACCTACCTATCCATCCATCCATCCATCCATCCATCCATCCACCTACCGAGCTATCCATCCATCCATCCACCCACCCATCTATACATCTACTACCCACCTATCTATCCATCCAGCCATCCATCCACCCATCCATCCATCCATCCACCTACCGAGATATCCATCCATCCATCCATCCACCCATCCATCCATTAGAGGACATTCTACACAGGGCAGGTTTAATGAAGATTCTACAGACATTTAAATTGGATTTTGAAGAATAATTATGAACCTAGGAAGCAGGAAGGACTTGGGCAAATCCCAAAAGTATGATGGTTCAGGCCAGTTCTCAGAACAGTGTCAATCCTGGGAAGAGAAAGGCAGATGAGGCTGAGGAGGTGTTCACAGCCTGCTCCCAGGACCTCACACCTCGTCAGTCTCACAGAACCAGGAGTCTAGGTCTGCAGTCTCCTGGCTTCTTCCCCACCATGGATTCTAGACCAGTGTTCATTCAGAACCACTACCAACCTTCCTACAGCAGGGAAACAGGGGAGGGAGGAAGAGAGACACGTGTTGCCCATCTGTGGCACCACAGAGATCGAAAAGTCTCCCCCGGCGGCCCAACTCTCCCCTCAACTTGATTCTACAGATATGATATTGGCATTTGTTGTGTGCTAGGCATTGGGGACCAGCTGGACCGCTTAGGTCCTCTTTCATGAAGCCTCCCCAGCCCTGGGGTACCTGATACCTCATCCCCCTCAGCTCTAACGCTGCACCTGCCCATGGCTGGGAAGCGACAGTTGGCTCCCCCTTCGAGGGGCAACATCTGCAACTCATGCATCCCACTGTCCCCAGCACAGAGCACCATCATGATGACTGAGTGGGATAAGGCAGAGGA